TCTTCTTCTTCTTCTTCTTCTTCTTCTTCTTCTTCTTCTTCTTCTTCTTCTTCGAGTGTGTCCGTCTATATGAGTGCGTTTATTTATTAGTGTAAGCACTGACCTGAGCCTCAGCGTCCACAGTGAGGGGTCCAGGTATCTCCATCTTCTCCTCCAGACTGCCCACAGCCTTCCTGTACTTGACGGAGACGCCGTGTCCTGTGTAGGTGTCCGAGGGGGCGGTCATGCTGGGGTTACCGTTGAACAGTACACTGCCGTTCACAGACACGGCTGGAAGTAAAAATTGAAAAATTATGTTGCAAAATCTAACTAACTATTACAGTCCATTTGCAAAAAATGTTTCGTGCTCTACACGAAACCAATGGCTCCTAAACATAATACTAATAAGTACAACGTCACGCTCATGAGATAACTTAGTCATTTTTAGCCATATTGGGAAAAAGGGAAAAACTGTTTCTTTCGAATAATTGACTCTGTGAAACGCTTGAATTTTGGTACACCCAATTAATTTTTTTATTTAGATTATTTATTTGTCCAAGTGAACTATTTTACCAAGATGGCTCTGCTCTTTATTTCAGAATTAAAAACTCCAAACCGGTCAAAAATGATTCATGCAATAATCTTATGAGTATGACGACATGTAATGTTTAGTCCAGGTTTCGCAAGGTAATTGTAACTACTCTGGTTTTTTCAATCTGTTAAAAAGTATCATCAGAAGATTATATATAATGCTGTCTATTGTACAGACAATAATATTCTCGATTCAATCGATATTCAATACATGTTCATTCCACCAACGTTGTTGCACCTCAATACACTCGCAAACGTACTTTCAGGTTTCTTTGATTTCGCACAATTTTGGCAAGCCTGATATTTTTAGGTCAATTTTGAGAGACCATATCTTGGGCGTCTCTTAGTGTGTATGAAAGCGTTATTAATGCGTCAGGTGATGTAGAACGTATTTAGCTATAAACTAGCTGAGCACCCGGCTTTGCTCGGGGTCGACGCCATGGCGTCACTGCTCCTACTGGTCTACGCCGCAGAGGCATTTTACATCTACATGTACCTTGCTGTCTAGCATTTCACAGTCATACCTGGCTTCTAGATCTATATTGCTTTAGTTTAAGTCTGCCTTGATTAACTCCTTTCTTGATCTACATTGTTTTAGCGTATTGCTGTCTAGCCCTTCACAATCACAAAATACGGATTTCGCCTTACACTATCACAAAAAAGCACTAAGAAAATAATAATCCACCAAAGGGCTGCTACACTGAAAAAGGAACACACCGACGTCTTCAAAATCACAGAGGCAGTGTCTATAGCTTGTTCACTTTCTTCTGACTATGTTAAAAATGATTCTTGCTCATTGACAAATTAACCTAGGCCCACGAAACTTTGCATGACATTTCTACAGACTATTCGAAATGTGAGCGTGCAAATTCATATGCACACTTCAGATTATGACATACGAATTACGGCAATGCAACATGGCTTGAAGATAAGAAATGATCCCAGGCTCAAGTACTTGGAAAAGACTGTTTCTGCGCTCTGAGGCTGCATCACTTTCCGTGAAATAAACTTGTAGAAATGAATGCTCATTTTGGGTGTCAGGAAGGAGAGAGCCAATGCGATGATATACTTGACCCTGCACGCGAAACTGTGGATTCCATCCATTGAGGGTTGCATCGGTATAGCCCATGGATGTGAGCTGAAAGTAATTGTTGTACAGCCTGATTTTCTCCACAAAATGAGCGGACAGTGTCGACACACCAGACAGAAGGATTTGCAGTTCAGATGGTGGTTTTGGAAATGGATGCAGATCAGCTTTTGCCGTTGCTATAGCAGATACCTTGTGTTTCATATGGACATCTTATGGCCAGGCATTGTGTACACTGTGCTGTCAGTTCCCCAATGTAGCACTCGTACTGAAAGGAATTAACACTGTAGAGCAATGCTTTTGGGAGATTTAGATCTAGAGGGTCCCCATCATTTTGTTGTTGATCTAGACCACCTCGACCTTTGCGAGCTCGACGGGTTCCAACTGCAGAATTTCGTTTTCTTTTCGGAATGGTCAGGCGCTATCTAGATCTAGATTCTAATCTAAGACCTGTTGACGTTGTTCCCAGTAGCAAGAAAAAGAATTTGACAAAGGAGTCCAGAAAAAGCGATGATGGGCATCAAACGAAAGGATTGCAGTCGAATTTAGCACCAAGTAAAAAAAATAAAACATGAGGCTAGATCTATATGGGTCGCACACTTAAAATAGAGCTCAGTATTGCGCGACATTGCGCGATAGTATCGAACGGAAGTACGACTTGAAATAAACAAACCTAGCGGATTTTCTAAAATTACAGAGACAGAAGCGTCGCCTACAAAAGCGATCGGCGAAATAAAGAAGTTTAGCTTTTTGCAGCAAAACTGTCTCAAAACTGAAAAAACGAAGGGTGCCATGATCTGGGGAATATTTTTAAGAATATTTTGGCGAAAACCACATGTCGATCGATGCAGCCATTAAAAAGCCTTTTGAATAGCAAAATTCGGCCACCACAAATAGATAATAGATTGACATCCTGCATGAGTCGGTTGTGCAAGTCTTTAACAGTATAATTGGGTGTTTATATTTTCTAGCTTCTTTTGGACGCCAAAATTGTGTATGTGTTAGTGTGTTTGTGTGTGTATGTGTGTATGTGTGTGTTAATATAATATATATTAACATAATATTATTATGTCTATATCTGTGAGTGGGTTTGTGTCTGCCTTTATCTTTGTAAGCCTCGTAATATGTTGATACGCATTCTTTATGTATCTGCTTTAGGCTTCAGCTTGAATATAAAGAGGCCGATCGTTGTTGTCTTAGAAGACAAATTTATATGCGTAGTTGGATGGCGCTGCTAGTATGTCCTATGTATTTTACAGGTAATTCCCTCTCTTCTTTCAGTCAATCTGTCTCACTTTTTCACCGCACTATAATATATATATCATTCGGGAATTGTTGTCTCAATGAAAATCGTATTTTCAAAATAATAAACAAATAAGAAAAACAAGAAAAGACAAACACAACAAACAAAAAACAAACAAATAAAAACAACAACAAACAATCATAATTATGGAGATGATTTATGAACTATGTTCAAATCATGAAAGGTTAAATATTGTTCTAAACTTACTCATTTTGGCGTATCTGTTTTTATTGACAAAGTGTATACCCGAGGACCCTGCGGGCAACTTGGCAACAGTCGCCCATTCTGTGGACACAAGAAAGAAAAGAACATACTTGATTAGAAGAATGCCCTATGCAATTCTGGAAAAGATGGGGCTGAAGTTTGTTTTTGTAAAGTGTTTTTCGGCGCTTGCAACTGCATAAGGTCATACTCCTAATATTTTCAGTTGGTAGGAATTTTTCTTATCGATTTTAGACCACCAAAGGATCTTTAACGTTCGTAACTTGCACACGGGCCCTCCGAGATTTTTCGCCCTTGTCAGAGAAGACTAGGTGTAGATCTTTCCTGCCAGAAGATCAGAGGTGTGGCTGAAAAACAGCAGTTAGAAGGAGCTAATGAGTAGCAGTAGAAAGGCTGCAGAAAGAATCAGGAGCCCAGTGGAAGGGGCAAAGGAAGTGAGGGGGTGGGGGCAGAAAGAGGAGACGAAAGCAGACGACAGAACATTGCTAGAGAGCAGGAAATGAGGTGAAAGGAGACACATTTAGAGAAGAAATTGTTTCGGTCGCTACTCGGATTCGAACCCGGGGCCTATGAATGAGAGGCCAACACCTTAAATTTTAGGCCACGAGAGCCCCCTGGGGCTGAAGCGTCATGGGTGCTTTCAACGCAATAATCAGGGGAAACTGAAGATAAACATACACCTGAAAGGAAATATTAACATTTGGTTTATAAAATCATGGAAAAGAAAAAAGAAGCATAACAAAAAAGGAAGATAAACATTCAGTTTATCGAACCACGAAGAAGCAAAAAAATAAAGAGAAACATGAACGGGAGGATAAACATCAAAAAAAATTTGGTATATAATATCATGGAAAAGTGGCGCAAAAAATAAAATAGTTTGCTTCTTTTGTTTGAGTAATGCGAAGCACTTTTGCACAATAATGGTCTTTTAGTGTTGGGAAAAAGCAAGGCAGACAGACCGAAAAAACGGAGAGAAAGTAAAGAAGAAGGACCCACCAGACAGTGCCGCCCTCTAACCACCGGCAATAAAAACAAGTGAGGAAAGATTAAACAGAGTAACACCCTAAGAAAAGAAGGAGGAGATATTATGAGGACGAGAGATATTTGATAGGAAATGAGGAGAAAACCACACTGGAGCACCTGCCAACTACCCACGATAGATGCTTGACAGCTCAGAATGAGCAAATCACACAAGACCACCCACCAACCACCCACGAAAACATTTGCTTTGATATGTCAGAAGGAGCAAACCACATCAGACAGTCCCCAATCACAGTTAGTGAATGGGACAGATGTAGCAAACCACGCCAGGGCACCCTCCAACCACCCATGATAGATGTTTGGTAGGATGGATAAAGAAGCCTCACCAGAGCACCCATCAAACCCCCAATGACAGATATTTGATAGAATAGAAGGAGCAAACCACACCAGAGCACCCTTCAACAACCAAGGTCCTTACTCTGAGAGACTCCACGGTTGAAAGTTCCTCTCTTTGCCTGGCAAGAGTCGCCCGTCCCTCCACAGACCCCACACTTGTCAAACTTGTAGCTGGAGTCTGAGTGTCCGTCACAGCTGATGGCCTGTTGGGGAGAGAGAGAGAGAGAGAGAGAGAGAGAGAGAGCAAGAGAGAAAGAGCACGCGAGAGACAGAGAGAAGAGGGGGGGACGCGAGGACGATCGGGGAAACGGGGTGAGGGAGGAGGATGGGGGTTGGGATGGGGGGAGGGGTAGCAGGATAGCAGGAGAGGTTAAGGGAAAGGGACATGGTATTTTAATTGCGGGGTGGGGGTGGACGGGAGGGTGAGAGGGGGAGGGGTGGAAGAGGTCATGGGGGAGGACATGGTGGTTTGGGGTGGGGGGCAGAGCAGGGAAAAGTGGTGAGGGAAGTTTGATTGTTTATATCCTTCCAGAGGATAAAAATATCCTGTTTTCTTGAATAGAAGTGGAGATATTCACAACAGAAGGAATTGAGGGTCGCCTGGTGTCAGAGGTTGAATTAGCAAGAAAATAGCTGCTAAACTTTAACGACTTCAAAAGCCTAACAGTTCTTGGAAACTACGAACAATACGATGAGAGAAATTGCCCATCGAGCTGAAAAAAGTCAGTTTCTTCGATTCCATTGTTTTGATGAGCGCCTGATTTAAACACGATGTCACACATACGTGTATTACAATAAATATAAAATACAGAGCAAATTCATAACGTAGATTCCCGCTCAACCGCTAGCTCTTTACAGCAATAAATCAAATTTGTAAATACATGGATATTTACAATTCACCCGGAATAAGTAATAATAATACAAAAAATAACATTTAAGCTGCGCATTTCTATTTTCTAAAACAGGCTCACTGCACATTACATTAAGTATAAGGAGAAACTCTCATACCAGGTGCCCATTGCGGATGGGATCGGGTCGGGTCTGATTGATCGTCCGATTGGTTTGTGCTACGGTAGCCGCTTTACGCCCTTAATCTAGCCAGCAAACCGACTCAACCCGACCTGATCGTGTCAATGAGCACCCGGTATCAGAATCTATGACCAGTCAACCCACCTGACATCTGCCCTTGACACACTTGTGGAAGTCCATGGTCTGTTTCCCCGTACACATCGTGCCGTCCTTGAAGTTCTGACTACCGTCCAGTGTTCTCCGGAAAATCCCGATGTTCGGATGGTTCCGCGGTCGACACATCAGATGGCACTCTTGCTCACCTGTGGACATAAGAATATTGTGTCGTGTGGTATTCTGGGGGAATCAGGCACCCGTCAGAAACAGGAAATCGAAGACATATTTGTGCCATCATATTTTGATTTGATTTGATTTGATTTATTCATTTATTGTTTTA